GGAACAGACCTCCAGCATTTATCTGCAACCATTTGCACACTTAGCTAACAAACTGGGGGGGGGGNATGCTGGTTTTCCATTGAAGCAGGTAGTTCTGCCTAATTGTGGAGGATCCAGGTATACATGTATTTCATATATTTTGATGCAAGTCTCTATGCCTATTGCTGTTTCTACTATCAAAATTATGTTCCAATCTTGTCCTTGTGTGCTGAAGTATATTTATTTCCATTTTAAGCAGTATTGTTGGTTTGTGGGATGGGTAAGGGTGCGGATAGGCGGTGGAGGTAGGGTGGGGTGGGGGCTAGAATGTTTTTGGCACAATAGAGATATAATTGTTACGTATAGATTTTTGTTTTGGTTATTTAAAGTGGTATATTAAGGAGAGAGCTTCTACGCCCGCAGATTTGTCTAATGTATACATTACTTGCTGCCTGTTAGTCATACTTTACATCCTGTATATTTACATCTGTATAGTCTTCAGCCGTCTTAAGCAGATCACAAACCAAAATATTATTCATTATCATCGTTATTGGAATGAAATGTACATGTTAGCAAAATATATTAGCCAGGAATAAAAGTCTTGGTTATGCCAAAACAAGTTCACTTCAACCTTAATGATTAAAACATATCAAACTTTTCAATACTAGCGTGCTTTAGTTGTATACAGAGTCACAGTCCTTATAACTGTGATGTAGGAGATATTTAACTTTAAGGTAAAAAGATAGAACGGTAGGCTTGGAAGCTCCGGATTGCTGGTTCGAGCCCCAGTAAAAGCAGTAGCTCATGTTATTCATATCCTGATACACAATGTTTATTTCAATTTCTCAGGTCCAACCCGACACCTCCGTAGCCGCCGGGCTGCTGGTGACCTATGTAGGATGGCCAAAATGGAAATTAGTAACGAATTTTCCTGTGTTAGGATCCTCTTTTACGGTAACAACTGTGGACCCTTCAGGGGAAATAAGCCTCCTATTGATCCCATAGACCAGTACGTGTTGGTATTTGATATTCTCTATTTTAATTTCTGTTTGTTGATTAATAAAGCTAAAGTCAGGTAATTGTGCGTATTATTAGTGATATAACTTTTATATAATTTACGGTTTTATTATGCGTGTTAAAAGTAATATAACTATAGTATGGTTATAACGTATGCAACTAGTGTTATTACTAAAGTAGGATACACGGTTTTATCATGTGTAATAATTCTACATAGCTACAGTACGATTTACGGTTTTATCATGTGTAATATTACTACATAGCTACAGTACGATTTATGGTTTTATCATGTGTAATATTGCTACATAGCTACAGTACGATTTACGGTTTTATCATGTGTAATATTGCTACATAGCTACAGTACGATTTATGTTTTTTCATGTGTGTTATTGCTATTTAGCATGTATGTTAATAGTTATATATCTGAAGTACTATTTACGGTTTTACTATGTATATTATTGCTATATAACTATGGTATGATTTACGTTTTCATTTTGTGTGTTAAAAGTTATATAATTATAGTATGGTTATAATGTGTGTTACTAGTGATATACCTAAAGCATGATTTATGATTTTATTATGTGTCTTAATAGTTATATATCTGAATTACGATTTACAGTTTTATCATGTGTGTTTCTAACGCAGTTTTTGATGATATTATTTCAAGTATTATTTTTTCTTTTTGTGTTTGAAATGTTAGCAATTCAAGGCATTTTCGTATGGCTGACATTTTATTTTATTTTTGATTTCGGCTATTAATAACACCTGAGTTACGTTTGTTATCTTTAACACTACAGTAAGGTTGATTGTTATATTTATATTTTTTCTGGCTTATTGTTGCTCCACAACATTTCTTGGGAACTGCCAGGGATGGGTCCTGGGTTCAGTCTCCTGACAAAATTGAAATAAATTAATAAATTAATAAATTAATTCAATCAAGCAAGCAGTTAATCAATCAATTCATGTATTCACTTATTCATTGTCATTCATTCATTTATTCTAATAATAGTCCATAGAAAAACATATGTCCTTATCGCCTGTTGTGCTGCCGCATATTCATTCATTCATTCGTTCATTCATTCATTCATTCATTCATTCATTCATTCATTCATTCATTCTTTCATTCATTCATTCATTCATTCATTTTTATAATATTCCATAGAAAGGCATATGTCTATATCGACTATTGATGTTGCGCTACCGTATTCACTTATTCATTTATTCATTCATTCATTCATTCATTATTATAATATTCCATAGAAAGGCATATGTCTATATCGCCTATTGATGTTGTGCTACCGTATTCATTTATGCATTCATTCATTCATTCATCATAATAATGATATATCATAGAAAGGCATGTCTATATCGACTATTGATGTTGTGCTACCGTATTCACTTATTCATTTATTCATTCATTCATTCATTCATTATTATAATATTCCATAGAAAGGCATATGTCTATATCGCCTATTGATGTTGTGCTACCGTATTCATTTATTCATTCATTCATTCATTCATTGTCATTCATTCATAATGTCTATATCGCCTATTGATGTTGTGCTACCGTATTCACTTATTCATTTTTTCACTTATTTATTGTCATTCATTCATTCATTCATTTTTAATAAAAATGTACCATATGTCTACATCGCCTATTGATGTTGTTCTAACGTATATATTTATTTATTAATTAATTCATTGTCATTAATTCATTCATTATCATTAATTCATTTATTGTCATCAATTCATTCATTGACATTAATTCATTGTCATTCTTCATTCATTCATTCTTCATTCATTCATTCATTCATTCATTCATTATAATAATGGTCTATAGAAAGGCATATGTCTTTATTGCGTTTTGGTTGTGTGCTAACGTTTTAAGTTATGCATAATGTGTGACTTTGGGTTTTTACACAATATATTTTATATATGTATATCTGTAGGTGCTGTGATGTGCATGATAGATGTCTGCATTACTACAAGACAATGTGCGATGTCCCTCGATTAAAACTGTATTTCATGAAATATAATTGGGGCATTTCACCCCATGACGGACGCCCATTTTGTCGTAAGTACTATTATAATCATCTATTACTGGTGCCATTGTGTTGTTCTGTTCTTTGGTAGATTCCTCCGATTGGTTTGCGGAGCACCCAGGGATTACATTAATCCCTGGTATAAGTTGGAGGCACTTCCGAATCAAAGTCACGTGATTCAAATATTACACTTGATAGTCTTAAAATGTCAGGTGGTACATAAATTGTGCTATAACGTTATACAAATAGAAAGGAAAAAAAGAAGAAATGAAAAATAGTTGAGAAAAACAACAACAACAACAACAACAACAGTGTATTCACAGGTTGCTGTCTGGATAACATTTTATATAAGATATTGAATGATTTTGAATGCATAGACCCAAATTAACAGTCAAATATGATGTTATACAAATGAATTGTACACGAATTGAAACAACAAGATAACTATAAAAACAACACAAGATATCACCGAAATGAAAACAAAACTGCCAGTGAACTCCAAATCCACAAAACTAGGGCAAAATATAAAAAAGAAATAAGAGATTTATACGGAGACACCTGACAAATTTCAAGGATAGTAAAACTAAAATATAACACATAGCATGTCCTAATCATCCTCAAATTTATGTCAAGAACATGGTACATCTTTTACAATAAATCGACAATTAGAATATTCGTAGACGGGTGTAAAACATGTTATTACTTTTCTAAATCACCATTCAATTTAAACTGAAAATCTGAAGATAAGATTTTGTAAACAAAGTTCAATTTTCTGATGAACATGTTTATTTCGTCCTACGGAAAAAGTAATGTCCTAGTTTTCACATATAAAGAGCTTAACTAAAGAATGTTACACAATACTTCCCTCTATTTATAAATAGACAAAATAATAATACACCCATTTTCTAATAAGTTGATAACAATCTACATGCTAAAGTCAATTTTATTTTCTACCTTATTTTTTTTGAACTGCGCATAATATATGAATTATGTGTTTTTGTCTAATGGATACGACTTGTTTTAAGTGAGACCTATCTTTTATGTTTTTGCTACTAACAATTAAATGTTTAGGAAAATAGAAAAATCGATGAAAAATAACGGCAGCCCCGCCTAACGCCCCGCCCCGAATAAAAAAGGAGAAACACACTGAACAAAACAGAATAAAGCAACTTAACAATTATATGACCGTAGGACAACCAAAGGATACGAAAACAGTAACAACTGTTTGTTAAACGAAAGAATAACGTAAGTTACTCAAGTTAACATATGGATACTTTGTTGGAAAAACCACACCAACAAAAAAGTAATTTGTCTGAGAATGCGAAACAAAACCGAAGTAAAGGCTAAGTGGCTATTTCTTCTACTTCTAAATGGTACTGACCAATTTCAACAATTTGAAGATAAAATGTCAGACGAGGAATGAAACTTGGAAAGAGATTGTTTTTAAAAGATACGAGATGGTCTAATTTGCGTTTGAAAGGTGACGGTAGAGGGCTGATTTGAATAATTCCGTTGTGGGGCTCGAAATAATGTCAGGTGGGAATTTATTCCACTCGGGTATAGTTCGAGGGAAGAATGATGCCTTTCTGGTCTTGGTTTTTGAGTGGGGAATTTGTTACGAAAACTGGTGGTTTGTTCGGGATTTTCTAACTGTAGGGATTAATCTGTCTGATATTACGATATCGACTTTCTGGTTTACAATGTTATGAAGCATGGTCAGCCGAGCATCTCTACGTCTATCTGCTAGAGGGCGCAGCTTTAGGTGGTCCAACATTTCTGACACACTGGAGGTACGATGGTTGTACCTGTGCTTATTGAGGACATAGCGCGCTGCCCTTCGCTGGACCATTTCCAACTTGTCAATATTTGTTTGGGTGTGAGGGTCCCATATTGTACAGGCATACTCAAGTGATGGTCGAACTAATGATTTGTATGCCTGTACTTTGGCTGAGGTTGAGCAATTTTAAGATGTCGTCTTAAAAAGCCTAGCGTAGAATTTGCTTTTGGGCAGATAGTATTTATATGTGAATCCCATTAAAGGTCAGATGATAATGTTACACCCAGATACTTGGCCTGACTAAGATGTTCCAGTATGTGTCCATGTAAAGTATAATTATGGACTATTGGAGTTTTGTTTTTAGTCACCGACAACACATTGCATTTGTTTGGGTGGAAGATCATTTTCCATGTATTTTCACAGAGCGCCAGTTTGTCAAGATCTTTTTCAAGTGTTTCAGCATCACTGTTTGACTTGATAACTAGATATGCAATAGTGTCGTCTGCAAAGAAACGGATTGTAGCGTTTGGACCCACAGGGATATCGTTTATAAAGTAAAGAAATAAACTGGGTCCCAAAACTGACCCCTGGGGTACCCCGGAATGGACATCGACAAAATCAGACTTCTCCCCTTCAACTACTACTGTCTGAGTTCTACCGGTCAGGAAACTCTCGATCCAGTTTGCGAAATTTCCACGTATACCATAATGTTTTAGTTTATGGTTGAGGAGAGAATGACTGACCTTGTCGACAGCCTTAGCAAAGTCCATTATGAGGATATCTGTTTGGCGTCTCTCATCAAGATTCATTGAGATGTCATCCACAAATTCAAGAAGTTGGGTTTCGCATGATCGCGATTTGCGAAAACCATGTTGGAACGGATACAATATATTATGGGTATCGGCATGGGTCATGATAGTTGAGACCACAATGTGTTCCATAATTTTGCTACAGATACCAGTTGGCTAGAATTGTTGTTTATTCATTTACGAACGTCATCGTTCATGTGTACTGCATGGTTACATTTATATTGTTTATCAATAAAGCAGAACATACATAGGCGATAGATTATTATTCCGATTCTTTTTATAGAATACGTAATATTGCTGGAAGCTATATAAAATAAACAGTATGGAAATGAACAAAATAAAAACAAACACATAAAAATAACATCAGATGATATATTACCATGTAATTAGTCTATCTATAATTAATTCATTATATCTTTTAAAACAACACAACAACAACGTTAAAAAAAAAGATGATGTATAAATGAATGATTGTTTACTCCGATACTTTGTTTATAGTTTGTAGAAACCCGTCGTATTACATTGCAATTTCACTAATAAGCACAATCAATTTTTTTCGACCGTCCTTTTAGAATTTATTCCTGTGTATGTTTCCTTTTATTAACAGATTATTTCTTCTCTGCGGGGCATTTTCTTAATTTAAGAATTTAAAAACAAAAGTTTAGCCAATTTTTTGTTAACCTTATTAGTAGTGTTGGTCAAATATAGACATCTGCTTCTCGATTTACACTTGGGAGATGGGTAGTTGTATCTTTTTTAAGATCAATGTTTAAATTACGACTAATAAAAGACTTAAATGACTACTGATAAAGCCAACACACCGTAAAAATGTTATCCATGTTTAAATGATGATATAAAACACCATCTATCATTAATGATATATTGTATAATATATTTAAACAAAACATTAAAAAAGTAGAAATGTTGATAATAATATAATAAACTACAACATTTGATCTAGCGCCCTATCTAGCTAGAATAAGCCACTCTAACGCGCTTTACAATACATATATATACAATTTATATAATCAATACAATAAGCATATACATTAATCATGACAGTTTTTGAGGAATTCGCAGGAGCTGCCTTATCAGGCGCTAACTACTAGTCCTATGTCATATGGCTAATATCTCCCAATGTATGTATGCCTTTGTGTGTACTGGAGATGTATTGTGTTCTGTTTGTAGTGGGACCGTGCTTCCAATGGTATCATGTATAGTGCCAACTCATTTTAATGACACAGCACAGATACCCCAACATCCACCCCTGACCATTTTATACTCCACCTGGGTTTTTGGAGTTGATACTAACCGAATTTCTGTGAAAGTCAGTGTCTATATGACAGAAACACCCACTTTAAACATTAGTTTGATAGTGATCAGCCAGTTTTTTTTTAGATGTAACATTATTACAGTAATTACGTATAAAACGCTGTTCTTTCCTGAATAACTGATTTCGCCCACTTTAAAAACGTGTATTTCTTGCTTTTATTTACTTTACTTTTTCTGTTCGTATTGATACCGCCTCAGTTCCTATTATTGTCTTTCGTATTGATTTTAAGCCAAGTTTTCCCCCATGTTTGTTGACCTACTGGTATATACATATTATCTATCTAACTTGGATGTAAGCTCACGATATGATTCCATGCGTTTAATTGCTTTTCTTATAATAAATAAAAAAACCTGTTGAACATGTATGACATCTGTGCCAATAAACCATAATAAATATACATAATATACCAATATATTAACCATGTAATCGTTTCGGTTTGAGACATCTGACTGAGTACCTTCCTTGTATAATATGACGGTTATACAGCTGTCTAGGTAAAAGTGATGGATATGCATAACTCCTAACATAGAAGGGAATAAGTACCTGTGAAGAAAAACAATGCCGGACTGGCTTATATGTCAGTGTTAAAATATATTGATTTTAAAGAAAATATTAAACTAATAAATAATCAAATAACCCTAGAAACACATACCATGTATCTGCTCACTGTTTGTAAACAATCAAGCTTAACTTAAGGTCGTATGCTACCTTTCATTTCATAACTGTGATTTCGGTTTGTTATCTCCTTTTATTTATTTCATAATTGCAATGATGACTTAACTTAGGATTTTTGATGTTAGCATGCTTGGGTATAGGCAACTTCGAAATTGATTAACATTTAATCGATTAGGTGTAAATGTCTGTTCATAAACTATATCTTCGGTGTGATGTGTCACGTGGAGCTCTTTTGGAAAAACCATGCTCGTAACTGTTAAGTAGCATATACATTTAATTTTGTATTGTTTTAATTACACATTCCCGACATTTCATTTCAACATATTTTATTGACTTTATATCTGTCAATTTTATTGGACATCTGGCTAGGACTATATACGTCCTTTCCAAAACCCATTACAAACATTACATATAGTCTGTCATAACAGTCCAAATAAACAGTGTAGGGGAGATAACTCAAATTTAGCTAGTGAAATAAAAATATTTTTTTTTATTAATATTCAGTCATTTACTGTTTATGTTTTGGATATTAACAATTAAATCAATCATGTATATTTGTTGACAGACCATCCTGCATACAATCCAAGGGATACATACACTTTCCCGACATTCAATTTCATATCACCTGTATGTCTGACACTTCTATTTATCCTGAACTGTACAAAAACCTGAGAGCGTTAAACGAGTTAAACTAACGTACAAAGATGTGATCATTGATCCGTGCTTGAAGAAAACATAGCATACATTGGAATTGTAATTGGTTATACCCAAGCAGCAAGGTCGTATTTATTGAAAAGTTGTGTTTCAAGCACCTAATTTCGAGTCACAACGTCAGTAAAGGACCTTTTCATAATTACCGTTAAATGTTTGCGGAAAAATCTTTGAATTCATGACGTTGTGTCATCTTAAATTAGTTACCATATATTATACATGTTTGAAATATAATCGTCCACGCTGCAGTTCCATACATAAATAATGTAACCTTATTTTTTTCAGCTCAAGGAGGTCATCCCTGTGATAGCATGTGCTGTCAGTGTGACTTGGAGGTCGTCAGATGCATAGGACATTCATTACACGCTATGTCTATGATGTGATCCCGGTTTCTGGGATGTTGATTTCATTTCCTAATCGTACCTTCAAAGACAACTTGGATTCTTTATGTGATTGAAGCTTTCATTTCATTGGCGTGCATTCCATATGCGATTTCAGCTTACAAGGACATGTATTCCATATGTGATTGCAGCTTGCAATGAATTGCATTCCATTTGTGATTTCAGCTTACAATGACATGCATTAAATAGGTTATTTAAGCTTACAAGGACATGCATTCCATATGTGATTTCAGCTACAAGGATATGTATTCCATATATGATTTCAGATTACAAGGATATGTATTCCATATATGATTCCAGCTTAAAGGGACATGTATCCATATGTGATTTCAGCTTATAATAACATGCATTACATAGGTTATTTAAGCTTACAAGGATATGCATTCTATATGTGATTTAAGCTTTAAGGGACATGCATACCATTCGTGATTTCAGCTTACAATAACATGCATTACATAGGTTATTTCAGCTTATAAAGTCATGTGTTCTATATATGATTTCGGCTTACAAGCATATGTATTCCATATATGATTTCGGCTTACAAGGACATGCATTACATCTTTGATTTCGGCTCACAAGGACATAGAGTCAATAGCTAATCTAGGCTTTTAAGGATATACAATCTTTGCGTAATTGATCCTTATATGTAATCCAAGTTCCCTTCAGTGACGTACGCGTACACTATTGATGTTATCCCCGCTTTAAGGAATGGGACATTCTTTTCTTTCAGTGTCTTCTGTATACATGTACCAATCTGTCCCAACAACCATGTTATCTTTATTCGACACCGGAAGTCGTTATTTATTTATCTGTGGATGGTCATTTAAGGTATTCTCGGATTTAGGATAATTTAATTCATGGATATCAAATGAAGATATTCTGGCAAATAGTTATTATAACTATTATATGTTACCGGAAGTGATGTAATAATGAGATATTAGGAATTGGCGTTTCTGGATGAGTTGAAAATTTTGGAACATAAATATGTATTCCTTTAAAAATGGCATGAGTTATTTTTACGAATATAAAAACACATGAGTACTCACATTTTTGTTGTAAAAAATCTGTATACTTTTTTTGAGGATTTTATTAAATGTTGATGTAAACAGGGCACTTTTTAAATGTTGTTTGTTTATTTATTTTTTAACTACATGTAATTTTAGCCAATTTCTAATTCAATGTGGTCACAATATTATATGCTGTGAAGTTGTTAATATTCACAAGGGTTTTAATTTCTCGAATTTCGCGAATGCGTTTAAATTCGATAAATTAAAACCCTTAGTTATTTTTAATGACAATACATTTTTATGTCAAAAACTTTTCAGTGAAATATCATCTTGGGTGAGTATATTTTCATATCTTACATCACAATTATAAATTGCAATAGTATTGTAAAGGTAATCTACTGTATATGTCATAAATCTCGTTGACCCACATTTTGCTGATTGCTCTAAATCTAAAAATGCTGATTAAGCAATGAATGCTTGAGCTAATGATGCTATCGTTCTCATAGCTGACAAATTTAACAAAGCGCGTAGGCAATAGAACCTTGATTAAACATTGATTACTTATATCAACACTTTATTAGAGTAGTTTAGACTGATTATTATTATTATCAATTATTTCACTTCTAAAAGTGCGCTCGAATAGGACGGCCCTGATTATGTATGTACACACTCGGTGTCAGCGAAAATACACAAAGAAGTAGACGGACCGTATATCGAGACTGAAGTTACCGATTTGTTCACCATTTTTTAACCTAGTAGCCAATTTAGAAGCCACTTCGTATGTTTTAGGAGCCAATAAAAAATTCAAGTAGCCAATTTGGCTACCGACAGCGCGAGCCCTGTTAACGCTAATTGATAATGTTCTTGAAGTACCTGTTGTCATAATTAGATCGGTATTGTTGGTCATATGACTAAATGATGCCTCACAACACCTTTAGGTTGAAGAGAAAATAAAAAATAAACAATTATATACCTACACGTCAACGACACCAACTGAATTTACGTACGAAGAAAACAACCCCACATTTTGCATCTTAAAACACATAAAATCTGAATAAAATAAACCAAACTGTCTTGTGTTTTTCTGGCATGCTTTGGTGAGTGTGATGAAATGACACATGGATTAAGTAACACAATGTTGCTTATTTATCGAGTGATCGTGAAAAAAGCAAGTCAAATTAAGTTACAAGATGAATAGACAGTTATAACAGTTATAAACAGTAACTATGTACGGGGCTGATAAAAGGTAGATAACTGTTGTATTTTTCACACAAAAAATGACAATAATAGCAGCTGTTCTATTTCATAAGGCAATACACACCATGTCAATGTGATGTTACAATATCAGAAATAGAATAACATTTTTCAACTATTTTCCTTTCCATACAGTTTTAACTTAAAGGTATACATTTTACTTTCATAGCCATTTTACATATACTTATAAACAGAAGATCTTACGTGAGTACCCATGTCATATTGAATTTATTAAACAAGTTCAACAATTTGGTATGACACCAGCCTTTAGGCGAGTGTCGTATCAAGGTATTGAACTCGTTTAATAATTCGATATGACATGGACACGAAAGTAATATTCTAAATATCAGTAGATGCATCATGTGGTATTACAAATAAAAGAAGTACCTTTAGTGGCGTAAGAATATGTTGTCACGTTATCTTTTAACAATCGCAGTACATTTAGGTCTTATTACACACGTGTGATATCATATTTATGACATGACCGTATGACATAGTAAAAGGGTCAGTTATGTGATAAATAGAGGATCTGTCATAAGTTTCCCTTCATATTAGATTTATGATACAAGTTTTAGATTTTTCTTCCAAAACTTGAAAAGTCCAAAGCGAGTATCATACATGTAATATAAAGTTAAACATATGACAGATTCTTTTTATCATATAATACAAAGTGAAGTGTATAATTGTGATCTGAAACGAATATTTTGCACTTGGCCGCCTCTGAAACGATAAAATTGAGTCCGCATCACAACGACGTGACGTCACATTGTTTGTTCCTATTCGATTGTGACGTCATTTCCGGAATAATATTACACACGTTACATAAACATTATTTATGTGATGGCTTTATGACACTGCATACCATGGTATACATGTGATAGATATATTTAAATGAGTGTATGTTTTATCAAGGATCAATACTAACCTTGTACTCAAAATTATGATTTATTGTTTACGTTTGTTAATAAGCTTAGCCCATTCAACAAAACTTTAATTATAGAAAGTGATTAAAAAAAGAAAAGAAAAAAATCCCAAACAAGTAAACAAAACAAAGCTTCAAAACAGGACATTTTTGCTGCAAAAAAGGCCATGGTCAAATTAACACGGTTGCCAAGAGGAACACAGCCCAAGAAATCTCATAGGACTTTGGACAATTGGGACAGCAGAAACAAATCTACGCAATTCCTTTAAAGTATGTAGCATCCTTATGTCTCTTACCATACCTTGTTAGATAGTAAATGTTTCCATTTCGTATGTAATAGACACAACGACCAGGATATAGATGTTAAGGTGAATTAGTGTGAACAACTCATTAGCATGTGATTAAGAAATATGGATAAACAAAGAAGAAAGCGAGTATGTAAAACACCGTGCAGTGAAACAAGTAACCATACATACGTGTTTGTAGGTTAGGAATAACATGAATGCAAGCAAGTAAGCTAGCAAGCATACTTTCAAGTACGTTAGCAAGTAGCAATGTATTCGCTCTAGTAAGAGTAACGGAGTTGTAGGGTGGTCGGGTGGTGCAGTGGATAGCGCACTTGCCTTTCACCAAGGCAGCCGGGGTTCGATTCCCCAATCGGACGTGAAAAGGTATGGGATTTCCTGCTCGACCACTTGTGATTTCTCCGGGTACTCCGGTTTCCTCCCACAATAAGACCCCGAGCACTAAAATCCGGGCCAACAAGAGTGATTAATATAAGTTGACATAACTTGTTTCATAATTGTTGTAAAATATACAAAGTTTATATTTAGTAAGAGTAAATAAATGTGTACGTAAATAATTCCTAATGTCAGAGAAGGGACAAATAAATAATGTAAGTTAATATTTAAAAAGGGGAGGGGGATGGTAATTAAAAAAACCTTATCAACTAACAATTGATAAACTAAGGCAACTTGTGATCAAAATAGATTTTCATGGATAATCTAGGCAGAAACAAGGTGGTAAGGCAAGATATATGTTAGTTGGTAGCTATTAAACAATCACGCTTGCAAATAAGCAAGTATATATGAAAGCTAGCAAGTTTAAGTAATTGTATAATAAAATAAATTAATGATTTAAAAGTAAGGTGGTGTTTCAGTCATTAAGCAAACCCTAAATAACGTTAGTGTGAAAATAAGCCACCATTTAAATACGAACTTGAGTGGACTAGTATTAATTTCTACAAAATATAGGTCACTGACTTATGTTTTGGGATAGTCCAGGAAGTCCTCGATTCCCGTTCAAAAAAATAAAACAACATTGCTGAATCACGCTTATAGTAAAACGGTTAAAATCCCAATAAAGGTATGTCCTTAAGAAATACACAGTCACACCTGAGTTCACGTATCCATATTTACAACGGTTGGGTGGTTGTTTCAACGAAAATGCAAGACTGCAATATACAGCTATAAGTTTACCTCGTCGGTTATATTGTATTTGTACGTTATGAGGTCTGAAGATAGTCTAGGATATTCTCAAAATCAATAAAAGAATGATTTCTGGGATACCAGTTTCGGATCCAAGGAAAGTGGAGTGGTCTGTGGTAATAGTAGAATGCCGTATTCATTAAATTCTCATTAGCAGCTAGTCGACCGCCAGTTCACGTGCTGCTGGTGTCCCAGTCAGATGACCAGCCATGGTCACCACAATGGATCACTAGCCATCACTTGGAGATCATCAAGACGAAAATCACAATTTTTTAAAGTAAAAGTAAGTAATCTTATATATAGAAGTTATATTATTCATGGGAGCTGGGGTGCAGTCAGGCATGATTCAGCAGCCCGGAAGTGATGTTTCTTTTTTGGGTGAAATGATGCAGTTGAAAAAGGGCAAACTATGGTATGTTATTTTGATTATTATTTAACAACTGGAGCTCCAATTTTCAATCCATTTGTTTTGTAGTTACAACCACTTGTATTCTACTATATGATATGCATTTCTACACTTCAAATTCTACTGGTAAAGTTTTAAAAGGCATTTATTAATAGACAAATCAAAAGGCAGAAAGTGCAGCACCTTGTGCTCTGCATCTTACTCCACTAAACAAGAAAATCTTAATGCGATCATGTTGAACTGGGTTGCGTTGACCTATTTTTACCATCTGAGTTACATTAAGTATGTAATGAAATAAAATACACAGAGTTGTAACTACAAGGGAAACATTTTGAAAATTAATCATCATTAAAACAAATACCGTGATTTGCCCTTTTTCAAATTTACCCCCTTATTTTTTCTTAAATAAACTGATTTATCCAGAAAGAAATCCCATTTTATTTTGATCTAAACCTAGACTTACTTTAATAAAACCTCTGTTATGGCCCCCGGAGGCATTTTAATTGTTACCTTTCTTTGTATCATATGTAGTTCTTTTTTAAGGAGGCACTGTAGTCCAGTGATAGGACGCCGGACTCGTGACCAGAGGGTTCTGGGTTCGAGTAACGGCATGGCACTGTGTTGTATCTTTGAGCAAGATACTTTACTTAGCTTGTTCCAGTCTACTCAGCTGTAAATGAGTACGTGGATTGGCAGTGCTAGAATTGTTGAATGCTAGCTGTTAGCGCCGAAATGGCGGCTCTGGCTGTATGGTCCCTCGGGAGTTGAGAAAGATATTGGCTGGTTGCAAAGGCCATATACCAATATGGACTTTTCTTTTCACATCAAAGGATTTAATTTGTTTTCATAATACTATTCATACGCTCTATGATATTACCCCCCCCCCCCTCCCAAACAAGATAATATGGATATAATAACACACAACTGTTGTTTTCTTCGTTAAAACTTTAATCCATTAAGAGGATAGCAGCATTAAAAAAAGAAGCAGCTAAAAATATATATTGTTTACCGGAAATTTTCGCCCTGTCAATTTTCGCCCTACGCCGATTAAATCCATTTCTGCCCAATGATAATTTTGCATTCGGTTGCTATGTTTATTATATCGCTCACTACTATGCGCTGTAATGATAAATTCGCCCTCATTACAGAGGGCGAAAAAGGCGAAAATGTAACTGCAGTGAAAAATTCCCGGTCTACAGTAACAGTAAGGAAAATTGTAGCCTTGTAACTACTCTAACTAATAGCGTTATACTCCAACACCATAGTATTTCTATATTGTTATACGTCCTTGTATAAAGCTAATTGATTGTTTGTATGTATTGTATGTATACATAAATACACAACAATAGAACCAATCGACCGTAAATTTAATGGTCCATTATCTAATAAAACACGCCTCTGGGCATGCCGCTTTAGACCATATTGATTAGCTTGCATTAACATTGGTTTACTTGCATTTCACCGGTGTTGCTTGTTAGTCTTGGAAACCTTCATCGCCCAACCTTTTAAAAATAGTTCATATCTGCGTATCGGTTGCAATGATTTTTTTCATTGAACGTTTTCATTATTCCATGTTATGCGTTATTTACTTAGCCATTACCTGACAAATTTCCATTCTCAAACATATTGTCAACACTAATGCATCCATGACTTGTTTGTCACAAATGTATTCCTAAATTACACAAAATCCTTTCAAATTACTACTACAGCAATGTTATCTGTCTCGCCAATTTCGACACTGACTTACACGTATGTAATTGGGTATTATTTCGATATTAAAATCGAAACAAATATCATTTTTAATTTTACATTAAGCTAACAGTACTTGAAACAAATTTTCGCACCACGTCAATGAAATAGATTCCATATCATACAAAACTCTCTTGTACAATCTATTATACTAAGACCAACAGACATTGTGAAAAATGAATAGAAGCATGTGGTTCTACAATAATGTGTACGTACGATATTTGCATTGTTTTATTAATATTCTACAAAAGCAGATATAAAAATGGAATTTATAATTCGAAATTTTCATGCGTATTCAAGTTTACTAAGAGGAATAACAGCGTCCAGTGATATCTTTGGTAAGTATCGGACATTGATACACATTACACATTACATAACATTACATTACAATACATATTACATTATATTTCATTATATTTCATTATATTTCATATTTCATTATCTTACAAATTACATTACATTCCACATTACATTACATTCCATTTCATATTCCATTTCATTTCATATTACATCATATTTCATATATTACATTTCATATTACATTTCATATTACATTTCATCTGACATTACATTTCATATTACATTATATTTCATGTATAAAATTTCATATTACATTTCATATTACATTACACATTACATTACATTACATTTCATATTACATTCCATTTCATATTACATTCCATTTCATATTACATTCCATTTCATATTACATTTCATTTCATATTACATTATATTTCATATTACATTCCATTTCATATTACATTACACATTGATTACATTCCATTTCATATTACAATACACATTCATTACATTCCATTTCATATTACATTCCATTTCGTATTACATTCCATTTCATATTACATTCCATTTCATATTAAATTACATTTCATATACTACTTTTCGTATTACATTTCATATGACATTACATTTCATATTACATTTTATTTCATGTATAAAATTTCATATTACATTTCATATAACATTACACATTACATTACATTCCATTTCATATTACATTCCATTTCATATTACATTACACATTCATTACATTCCATTTCATATTACATTCCATTTCGTATTACATTCCATTTCATATTACATTCTGTTTCATATTACATTACGGTTCATATATTACATTTCATATTACATTTAATATTACATTACATTTCATATTACATTACATTTCATATTACATTTCATATGACATTACCTTACAAAAACATTACATATCACATTTCAAATTACATTACACATGAAGTCATTTTGTACATTATACATATATTAATTGATTTTCCTATGTGATTATTTAATTACTTCCCACATATTAAGTATGTTTCAGTTTTGCTATCATTTGTTTACTTATGCTAGCACGAGTAATCTAATCCCTCTACCAAAAGCTTCAAAAACGATGTACACTGTAAACAAAAATTGATAATTGAATATTTGGAATATTACTCGTAAAACAATAATAATCAAACTTCATTAATTTGCTATTAAATACAAGCACAACTTATTTCGATTGATGCCCAATCAGCAATAAAAAATAAAATGTGATTTAATTAACATGGGAAATCAAATACTAATCGATTGTTAAGCAGACTTTAGGTCGATATAGGGGTAATCTAAGTACTACTATACACAAACATATACATAGACATGTGTTCTATTGTATTATTTATCTCTTTGAAATATTTTACAATTAAGATATAGAAAATAATATCTAGCTTTTTCAAAATTCATTGTAAGCTCTCTATAAAATAAATTGATTTCGATCATTAATGTTTAAGAATTTTCCGTCGAATTATATTTAATCTTACTAATTGACTGAGTATTTTCTCATTAGCAGATGATAATAAACTAAATACCTTTGTGTTTTTGTTCAAAATAGGAGTTTAAACAGGTTGTTCTATTTGTGCATAAAGCTATTCATATTCACCAAAGACAAAAACAGACTATAGCTTAACAAAGCTAGCTAACCGTATCTAGTATTTAAAACCCCTGTAAATATTTCGTGTTGAGGTTGTATAACTTTAAAGAACCAGTCAGCTTAACATTGGATATCACTTAGTAACTCGTCCTCTACAACTGTGCTAAATTATAACCGTTTATTCTGTGAAAATATTTTTATCGTTGTATTCTTTTCATGAAATATTTCATTTAATGTTTATGTAAAACAGCATTATGTTATATGTATAGATTCATAAGGCTGTGTGTCTAGTTGTTACGTCCGTTAAAATAAATAGCAGAACAACAAGAAGAGACAAATACAGAACGATCGGCAATAACAAGGTGATACAAAAGCAGAGATTCAGTAGGGTATACTGCTCGTTTTATTGTATAAAGATAACAATGCATTTGGGTGCCCAGGTACAAGGTCAAAGTTGTTCTTCATTTGAACCCACCGACAAATAATAATCCTTGCACCATTTAACGGGTAGATGTTACGAAGTTGAAACATGTTACAAATTCCTCCCCACAGGAACATTACTGCTGTAGACGGTAACTGCTGCCGACGAAAGATGCTACGGAGATCGTCATTTACGTTTTACTGTATTGGAATATCCATCATATTTGTGTGGTACGTACTGGCGATAATGGGTAAGTACATTTCCGATCACTAAATATATGTTCATTTCCATGCGTTAAGACAACAATGTTGCAATCCAAGTGCCCATACTTTATAATTTTTAATAACTGGTTCTTAAATATATTTATTTTAATGTCTGCAATATTGTTTACCCATAAAACGTCATCGCGTGCTGCATATTATGCAAATTTCTAATGACAATTTTGTACCGACATAGCATCTAATTATGATGCCTTGTTAGGTTTAACATGAAGTAACCCCCATCCTCACCATTCTACACATATAGGATATAACACATTTGAAAAATGTCAATGTAAGTTTGTGCTTAAATAGGAATATTATTGGTATCCCGTTTAATATTTGTTTTGTATGAAAATAGGGCTCGCATTATAAGAAACTCTTGCACCACACCTGAGATTTTTATTTAGTACATTTGTTTATATAAACAGAGAGCCACACTATGACTCTCAACATAAAATTCAGATAACATGAACAAATGATCGAATAACTAGTACATACCCTTATACCGATATGGCAGTCAGTTATAACTATATTGACGCAGTTAGTGTATTGCTGAAATAAACAAACACCTTCAGGACTAACATTTCACTACAAAAGGCTGGAGGAGAAACAGCGGAACCAAAAATAAAAGTGAGTAAATACTGGTACAAAACCCATACACTTTATGAAAATGTGATTTCCCGTTTTCATCGCACTGTTATGTACGGGTTAAGATTATAATACTAAAAGACTAAGATAGCAGGGATTCTACGGTCACAGAGCACAGAATTAAACCAATGAATACTTTTTTTGTTTTGAGTCTCGATTGCATTTAACATTTTAAAGATGATGCATTAAGGGATGAATTAGGTTATTGGTGAACAGGTATTTATTTTTTAATTTCTTTTGATAAGGTTTCTCCCTTTTCAAAATAAATATAGGAAAAGAGAAACAATTGCTATTATAGCTTTGCAAGAGGTGCATGAACATTTTTCACGATTAGTGGAAAAAAAGAATGATATAACCTGATGATTTTTTTTTGTATTACAGATGCAAAAACGTCTCTACGAAAAACACAAGGGCTTCCATTTCAATCATATCAAGACAGCTACTCACACTATCCAACTAAAGCCCAAAGGACGAAGGAACAGCCGTACACATTCAAAGATACGAAAAACATGGAGATGCACGAACGAAAACTGAAACTTCAATCATGGTGTAAAACATTTCAGGAAAGAGACCATGACAGTAATATAGAAACTACTCGAACTTTCTTCTACTCAAAAACAGCAAGATTTGGCGTATGTAAGGCACCAAAGACCGGCTGTTCATTCATGGCCAAGTTTTTCTTTGCACTGGAACCACAGATGTCTGTAGTGAAAGCGTTCACTATGGATCGGTACGAGGTTCACAGCGGGGCCTATGAATATGACGAGGACTTCATGTTTAAAACTCTGAAGAAGAAAAGAGCGTTTACCGCCGTCGTGTCACGTGATCCATTTACGAGACTTTTCTCGGCATACATTGATAAAGTATTTCTGATAGGAAAGCTCAATAAAAAGTTTGGGTTAACGTTGAGATCGCGTTTATATGCTACGCAAGAAGAATCATGTGGTTACGACATTTCTTTTCAAGGATTTCTTGACCAGGTGGTTGCTATGGCAGCTAATGGTGAGTATGACGAGCACTGGCTTCCGGTTTCTAATCTGTGTAATCCGTGTCATCTCCGGTACGACTTTATCTGTAAAACGGAGACTTTGGACAGTGACTTATATCAAATAGTGGAACAATTAAATCTTTCAGAAGAAAGAAAAGAGGCGATAAAAAATAGCATAGCAACAGAAAAAGAAAACAAAAATGAAGTAATGTCTCTCATTAAAACAACGATGTATGACCATAGACGCTTTAAGAGAGAATGTCCAAACGTTCTCGATTTAATGGAAAAGACATGGAAATCGCTTCAAATCCGTGGATATATCCATGAAGCCTCGCCCTTTCCGAGGGAAAGGTTCTGGACGACGAGAAAAGGAAAATTGAAAGTGGGTAAGATTAATGATGAGGATTTGATTAACATTGTGTATGAAGAGTTCCTCAATCGACCTTTGACCCCAAAGCAGATGACTCGTCAAAGACACAGGTCGTTGGTGCGGGCATATCTTAACATCAAACCAGATACAATCAGTAAAATTCAGAAGGTCTTTGAATACGATTTCTTTCTTTTTAATTATGGTTTAGAACCCCCAGGTGAAACCAAGCATTGAAAAAGTCGATTTAAATAGTCAGATTAAAATAATCTTACAATTATTAGTGCTATTGCGAATTTTTTTATGAATTAATTACAATTGCGATTTAGTCTGGGAGAATTGCACACGTCCGGATTCAACCAATCACTTGTGATCGTTTATTAGACGTGTCGTTTACAATTCAAAATAATTTGAACGTTTAATTAAAAACCTTAATTTTTATAAAGAAAATAAACATGTTTTACGAACCAGCATATAATAGGTCAAACGAAGCTAACCTCGTATTGAACTTGTGTACCCTTTAATTAATCTTAAATATAAGTCAGAAATTTCATTGAATCATGCTTGGTGGATAAATGACCAAATTCATCAAGGAATTTGAAAATAAACGGATTGGATGAAAGAGGCATTTTCTTAAAAATATTTCATGCGACATATCATACAATCAGATTAAAATCATCTGTTACATGGCTTCGCCTGAACATCTGAATGTGCCGCGGTCAGGGTCACGTTCAAGTGACCTTTAGATGAACCAATCAGAGGCGCTCTGGCAAAAGTTTGCCAGCGAATCGGAATATGATGGTTGATAGATAAATAGCGAGGGGTATCGAACATATTCAGTTTTCCAAAACAAATATGGCGGCGGAAAACGTACCCATTTGGTAATAATTGCGTAGGCAACACCGCCATACAGTCCTTCTTCCCTAATAAAGCTTCGAATATCTTTTTCTGTTCGGGTTTCAGACGATCAATCTCAAATAACTTCATAACTTTCGCATCATTCTCATCAATGTCCGCCATATTTGTTACAACTCCGAGCGCCCTTTTGAAAGAGGGTCTCTGATTGGTCAACATTTAATGAGTATTTATAAATATAAAGGTCACCTGAACGTGACCCTGACCGCGGCACACTCAGATGTTCAGGCGTAGTACGAAATTAACGAAGCCATGTAACATATGATTTTAATCAGATTGCAATTCATATAGCTTTACTGTTACAAAAACACTGTACTATTAAACGTGTCGCAACGTTTCAAGACCGACTTTCCTTTTGTAGGTCGTAACTTGACAAAGGAACCAGTCCGTCTTGCATGTTGCCACACATTTGATACGTATATTGTTGTTGTTTTCTTGTAAAACATAAAGGCTTGAAACATACATATTTCTAAACTGATGAATCTTATTGAAGATACCTTTCACTCTAAGCTGTCTCTGAGACGGTGGGTGTGCAACTCTACCGGACTACACGTTTCACTCTACATAGCTGTAAGGCTTAAAAGGGTCTGTTTGTTTGAGTGTTGTTTTTTTGTGGTTTATTGTAAGGGTGTATGATAAAATGCATTTACCTACACCTTTAAAGAAAGAAAAAAATCACCCAAGCATGTATTTTTTATTAGTAATTTTGACCTTATTTATTAGTAATTTTGACCTAATTTATTAGTTATTTTGACCTAATTTATTAGCTGATGACACAATGGAAGCGTACACAAGTTTGGAATGATTACATTGTTTTTTTCCCGCAATATAAGTTAATGAGAATTTAGAAATAATAATTAGAGAGGCAAATCAAACACATATCACAGGTTAAATGATTAAGAAAACATATAAATAATTGAATTTCTATCTCCGGGACATGTTGAATTTGAAGCAAGAAGAAGTTTTGGATACTGTATTCTAGTTATTGTTTTACGCTATTCGTATTCATGTATATCATGAAAGACAGAATTGCTATATGTCAGTTGAGATTTTTATCAGTTGTCAATTTAAATATAGCTTCACAATGACAACGCTTTAAGGCGAGTGTACGGGTGGTCTCCCTTTTCTCATTCCTTAAGAGCATAATATTTTGTTGACTGATAAAAAAACAATTTAGAAAATCTATTGACTTATTTAAGAATCGCCAGTATTACTTCTTGTCGTTGGTGCCTTATTAGTGCTAATACAATGAGTTTATTAGTTTTGTGCTAATTGTAAATTTTCTAAATTAAACAATGAGACTTTATTTAAATAAAATTACCTACCAGAGAAAACACATTCGCCTGTCGACCGGACGGTGTGTTGCAAAGTTGCTGGTTATGCTTTTTCTGTTTTCAATTTCATATGTTATTTTTCATGCAATTTTAAATATAGGCCTTACATCGTGTTTCCCTCTTGAGCTGGATCCTTTGTTCGGAGCCTCTCTTGTAAAATGAGTAAGACGCACATGACATATGAGAGTTGTGTAAGCCTGATAGTTATTGTGGTGTACTTGTTCTACTTCGGTATAATTATATCTATATTTCCCTTGTTTCAGGGAAAACAACATTTGTTTCCCCTCGAGTTATCATGCTTTACTGAGATTTTGTAAACATTACTAGCACGGAGGAAACAAATAATGGTGTTTCCCTATAACAAGGGCAATGAAGAAATAACATTTTACATTCCGGAATGGATGAATTATCTATACTTTACTCCGCCGTTGCGGAAGAATTAATTTGTTCACGATCAAAAGGACTGAAGACAATAAAAAAGAGGATTTTCTTAATTGATTACTTGAAATAAAATTCTAAAAAACTCTGTCCTGTTTACTTATTTGTTTGAATATCTGTTTGTTTGCGTGTTCTTTTTAATTAAGAATTCCACCAAAAAACTAGTATTGTTTGATTAATTGAATCGGTATACGCTGAAGAGAATTCAAAAATTGCCAACATTGTATCAATAGTTTATATTTCAATAAAAATCAAAATATAGGTGTATGAATAATTGTAACATACATAACACCTGTCAGTCTTTGCTCATATAGTGACTAATGACAACTTAGGAGCTAGCTAGTTTGGATCCCTGAACTGGTCCTGAACAGAATTACAATTCGCTTGATTAGAGGTAAAGAATGTTTGACAGGTCAGGCACAGATGATAACAATCTGGAATACTTAAAAGTCTGTACACCTAATGTATGTATTGTATCTGTATTTATAGAACACTCAAACTGGCCTAGCATGAAGGCAATATGTCAGGGTGAATATAGGGGCTTAATCTATTCCTTTTATACATCTCATAACTATATCGGAAAGAACTCAATAGAAATAGTACATCAATGCTATTCCCGTGAAATTGGCGAAATGACCTAGTAAAAAGACAATGTGATCAGGGTGAATATATCGGCTTAGATTTATTCTGGGTTTTTATTTTATCTCTCGTAACTATATCGGAAAGTACTTTAAGACAATTGTACATCATTGCTTTTCCTGTGAAAGTGTAATTAACTTATAACAATATCTTAAGAAAATGCAGAGTACCCTTATTTCAAAATGAGAAAGACGCGCTCTGTCGACCATGCTTTTTTAAAATAAAATAATGCTGAATTGCTTTATCATGAGTAACGAATGGCACACGTGCACGGTGTCCAGTTTTTATTTAGAAATACTGATTTTCTCTGATTTCCAATTATGCCTTACTCATACTGCCAACATCTTTCATTCAGTCACTGCTCGGTTTGTTAGGTCACTGTGCCTATTACGTCAAAGCATGGCAGCGACTCAAACATAGGCCAAGCTGTCATAACGATATACTTAATGTTGTTGCATATTTATTGTCCTGCCAAAGATTTGATCAAATTTCAATTGTCACTCTATCCCCCCAAATGCAATGAGATTAGAATAAACTGAAGTGAAATATAGCGGAAATAATACGTACAGCCTATGACGTTTAACAATTGTCCATAGCACGGCTTACCAAACACCCAAACTAATGTTGCGGTTAAAATGTCAATGCGGGTTGGTATTTAAAGTAGCACTATCTTGACATGACAGCTGCGCCGTAAAACCGCCGTTCTTCTCAGACGTTATCATTCCTCATACAAATTAGAGGATGGATAGAATGTTGATAATGGTAGCTAATATGGTTACCCGTAAACGGCTGTTATTACTGCTGGCGTTTTCATCTTCGCTCTGGATAGTCGGATTCATCAGTTCGAGTCAAGTCCCAGGTAAGTTGTCAAATAGTGTTTACTGGAGCAACTTAATAAGCCTTGAAGACTATATTGATGTTCCTAGTACCAATTTACTAATTCGCTTAGTCCTTTCTTCTTCCTGATGAAGCAATACGTATGTAGAGACCAACCGTCTTTAAGGATCGATAATATTATTTTCCCCTTGCGTGGTCAACTTAGACATGTCAATTACTTATTTGATAATTAAAGCTGAGTAGGCTTTAGTTACTGCAGCTTTACATATATTAGTTAATACCGTCCTTAATGCCGCTGTAGGTTCTCTTTTACCATCCTCGATACTTCAGGGGTTACACTCACTTTCGCTCTCTGTACCCCTGGGATATGTCGTAGCAAGATTGAAGGCATGCAGCTAGCTATTGATTGGTCTCGGGTAAAAAAGCCTGAACAATTCATTGGCTGATATATGTCCTTTTCAGGTTTCAGAGGAGCGACAACCGACTTCAAAGCCAGTCAATTTCACCGTTACGCGATCGCAATATTCTTTTGATGTACATCAAAGGATCAAACCAAACGTTTTGTCTCATCCACAAGGTGGCGCACAATGAGCCTTCGGTTTTGCTATGACATATTCCAGGATTGAAGAGAACATTAGTGAGCGCAATCCCCCAGATTATCGAGGATGCTGTGTTACAGATATGCCGTTAACTTAGTGTTCCATCGAACCAGATGGGGTTTTTACGGGGGTTTAGACAAACTAGGATGTCAGCCTTTCTGCCCCCCTTAGTATCACCGATGGGACCTAGAATGACGAAACAGCTGTAGGGTTGCAGTGTAATTCATATTTTGCATACTGTAGTTGTCACCAATATAGGAGCAAGCATATGTGTATGTCATAAGTTCTCCTTTTAAGATACAAGTTGATAGACTACGCTGGCGGATTTCTAATTCCTGGAGGTTTTCTGTAGCCCTGAGAGCCATAAGTATCTGCTTTGAGCGGTGGCATGGTTCATACACTGATATATACTCTAAATTATTTAAGATTAATCAGAAGTTCACCAATATTTGAAATTCATATAATGAAATGGTTTTAAAATAAAGTGTTCAAAGGTGTTTTTTTTTTAATTTCAATAGTTCTGAAATTTGCTTGAATTCAGCATCTGCATGGAAATTCTTA